ACTTCCAATATAATTGCCTGTGATAACTTATTTTAGTAAAAGAGAGTAGTAGATGGCCATCCTTGGGTGAGTTTGAGGGCGCTGTAAATACTCCTATACTCCAAAACATCTCCTCTGCTAACTTGCAATGTACCTGAAATTCCACAATTAGACATTCATTCCTAAAGCCTTTTCAGTTGTTTCTTAAAATCTAAGTAGTTCTTAGTGTCACCTTGTCACCTTGTACCTTCTTTAGCAGGTGTCAGTTACTGGCTCCTCAATGTGGGAGCACTAAGTTCTGGGAAGGGAAAGGGAGGGACTGCAAAACTAAGGAAAAGGATGGCTTAGCCTGCACCAACTGTATGTGAAGGAAGAGAGTCATTATCAGTTCAGTTGCATTATTCAGCACAGCTTGTTACCTGACATCTGCCTACCTGAAGAGATTACTGTGGGTTAATTCTAGAAGCTTGCTTATTACATTAACGACCTATATTTATTGACAGCTGATTATCTTGGGAGATTGTCTCCGAGAATTTGTGCAGTAGGTAAATGATGTCTTTGCCTCCATTAGTTCTCCTTTGAGAAGGGAAATAAGATAGTTGGTATTGATTTGTATCACTGTGGTTTCTTATCCCTCTTTTATGTCTTTTGGAATTGAGCACAGTATTATACCTATAACAGGTGCTGAGTATATGTTTGTTAAAGAAATCAGTCTGTAGATATTTAGAGGCTTATATCACTAGAAATAGATCACCAACCTGACATCCGGCTACAGTAAAACCAAACAGGAGAATAACTGATTTTTTAAAAATGAGAACTTTATTTTAAAATAGTTTGAGATTCACAAGAAGTTACAAAAACAGGACTGAGTTTCTGTATCCTTCCCAAGCTTTCCCTGTGATAATGCAATATGCTACATAGCCATGATATATTGTCAAAACCAGGATATTGACATTGGCACATTGCTGTAAACTCAAGTACAGACGTTTTGCCAGTTTTGACAAGCATGTTTTGGTTGTTTCTTTTTTTTTTTCCTGTATGGATCGAAGACATTTTATCCCATGTAGATTTGTTTTATTACCTCTCCACTCAGTGTACAGAACTCTTCCATCAGCACAATGAAAATCTCTTGTGAGAAATGGAATTTTAAAAAGAAAAAGAAACAACTTAAACATAAACACCAACATTTTTATAAGGTCACATGCATGAACTTTAAAATAATACTGATTTTAGGCTGGGTACGGTGCCTCATGCCTGTAATCCCAGCACTTAGAGCTGTTCTACTCTTCTTTGAAATGAGGTCCTTCTCCAGCATGCCTGCCTTCTGAGCAATCGCCGCCTGGAGCATCTCCTTGAGTGTCTGCTAAGCAGCAAGGTGGCTGTCACCTTAGGGAATCTCAGTCTGTGCTCCTTTTCTGACCTCGGTGTATTGTCTTCTTCTCCCTAAGTCCATGTGTAGCGGGTTTGTTTTCCCCATGTTAGCATTGTACGCTTGGCCTGACTTCATGGAAACTCCAAACTAGAATGGGCTTGGAACAAGTGGAAATCCACCAAACAAGTATGACCACATGGTCACAGCAGTGTACAGACAGAACTCTCCTGTTTCTGATTTACCAACATAGTGTACAGAGCTCCCACCACAGTTAAAATTGAGCTAAGTGAGCATGAAACACACTTGATCACTTTTTAAAGAGAAAGCACATTATCTGAAATGGCATCTTTCCTCTTGTCAACTCCTGCCAAAGAAAGCCTCACCCTCTGGAATTCATATTTTCAGGCAACCCTCTGGAAACTAAGGACATCTAAATCTAAAGGTCAGGATTCTGTTAGAGAATACTAGTCCAACATGCTCATGAAATCCTAACTGTGCACAGGGTTGGACGGACACTTAAAAGGCAGTTAAGTATGAGGGCTTGATGATATGACTAACCAAGTTCTTTAGGTAATTGATAGTGGATGCAGTAGAAATGTTCACCATAATTTTTCTATGTGCCTAGGTGTGATCACATGTATATAATTTGTATATAATTTGTTATCTATAATTTGTAATTGGTGGCATGTGTCTAATATGTCCAGGTACCCCTAATTGAGGTACTGAAATATGTTCATTTTATGTAGAGTCTAACTATAATTTAGAGACTGCTCCAAATAGCAGAAAGAACAGCATCTTACTAGGATGGGTTTTTTTCAAAAGATAAAGAGATATGTGCTGTCATTTCTTTGTGACACATATTCCTGCAATAGACATGGGGGCCGTGGTAGGAGGGAGAACCATGTGGTTTAGGAAATTGCTTCAGTGATACTGTGGGTCTAATCCCCTCTCCCTAAAGAACCCTAACAGTAGCAGGCCCTGAAGAAGGGGCATTTAACAGGAGATTAAGATACTGTAATTATATGGCAACAACGATGATCAACTTAGTATGTGCATAGGTACTTTTTTCCTTGGGGATTTAGTTTAATTGACCTCTGGCTTTGCATCCTTCCGCTTCCAATTCCTTCTCTGTATTGTCCCCAGAATTAACTACAAAACAAGATAATGGTACCACTCTCCAGCATTTAAATTTTTTAAAAATTTATTTATTTTACTTTAGGTGCATACTAGATCTATTTGGCTGGGCGTGGTGGCTCACACCTGTAATCCCAGCATTTTGAGAGGCCAAGGCAGGCAGATCACCTGAGGTCAGGAGTTTAAGACCAGCCTTGCCAACATGGTGAAACCCCCATCTCTACCAAAAATACAAAAATTAGCTGGGCATGATGGAATGTGCCTATAATCTCAGCTACTTGGGAGGCTGAGAAAGGAGAATTGCTTCAACCTGAGAGGCAGAGGTTGCAGAGAGCCAAGGTTGCACCACTGCACTCCAGCCTGGGTGACAGAGCGAGACTCTGTCTCACAAAATAAATAAATAAAAATAAAAGATAAATAAACTTCTATCAGCTCCCTGTTTCCTGTAGGATAAAGACCAGACATACTTCCAGGGCACACAGATGCTTCACGGTCTCCTGCCTGGGCCTCATTTCTTGCCAATCATACAATCTACTTAGGCTCTATATGAGGTGTCCTTCCACTCCCAGAATGCACTGTGTTCTCCGTGCTTCTGTCTCTCTGCCCAAGCTTAGGCCTCTGCTTCGATCCCTTTCCCTGCCTTCTCACCCTGATAAGTTTCCACTCCTCACTCAAGGACTACCGCAAAAGTTAGGCAGTGGCGATCTTCTGCTTCCAGAGCCCTTTGCTTCTTACTTGTATTTGAGTACCAGTGATCATTATAGCTACCACTGACATAGCACCTACCATATGCTGGCCACTAACAAAGTAGTTCACGTTTACTAACTCATTTATTTCTCTCAACAACCTCAGGAGGGAGGTATTATTTGCATTTTATAAATGAGGACACTGAGGCACAGCATGATTAAGTATCTTGTCCAAGGTCATACAAGGTAGTCAGTAGAATTTTTAAACAAGCTGCTCTTGCATACCTGCTGCCAGAAATTAAAATCTGGATAGACTTCTCTGCTAAATGGAAAACTACTTGAGCAAAACTTATGTTTTATTGAATTATATGTCTCCAAAACCAGCATAGTGCCTGTCACCAAAGAAAAAAATCTCAGAGACATTTGTTGAATGAATGTACAGACTATTATGTTTTTGTTCAAAAAGATAATCCTTTTGAAAAGATGTCATTCAACTTAGCCTTTGAGTTTTTAATCTAGAAGAGAGAAAAAATTGTGATCAAGAGGAAACAGCTGCACCTCGAGGAATGAGGAAGATAGTGTCAGGAGGAATCCTGTGTTTCGCTTCTACCTGCATTCATCCGTGTGTTCTGCGTGGTGCTCAGGTTTCACTGGGTGTTCTGCTCTCACCGAGCGTAGAAGGTGGAGGTAGTAAACTGCTCATTCACACTGTTCCTAAGTTCCCTATCAAGGCTTCCATCATTCACACAGGGAATCAGAAGGCTGAGCTCCTGGAGAACATTTTAGAAGGAGTAAATTATAAGCATGAGACTTGCCCTTCCCCTGTCAGAACGAGGAGGCAGGAGTTGTGACTTAGGACTAGATCGTACCATTTTTTGCATTGTTTTTAATGTACCAGAGGGTTCAAAAGGCAGAAGAGGCAAGAAAAATGGTAACAGACCTTATACGAAGCAGGGAGTTTACAGGAAAGTAGCTTTCAGATATCCAGTGTAGTCTGGACATTAGAGTGAAGCTTGATGAATCCCTACTGAATTTAAAGCAATATTTTTACTCCTTTATTAAAAATGTTAAGAAATATATATATATCACATATATATGCATTTTGCTGATGAATTGATTTTGATAAGAATACCTCTGGGAATCTTACCTGTAACTAGGGTTCTGCTAAATGGTCAGTATGTATGGGGTGAGCTCACTGTTCACTTGTCATGCATGCTGAGATGAAGAAAAGATGGCTCCACTTCAGAGTGTGGTTAACTTCGGGTTATGAATGGCTTTCAGGGGTGTAGATGCATAGAGTCCCTACCCTTGCACCACCCAAGCTTTCATGACTGTTGGGTTCCTTCAACACTATGTTACACCTTGAAAGTCATCATGAGCTCTGTAACCAAAGTGTTAAGGATGTTGCCACTTAACTGTCTCTTACTTATCTGACCAGCTTCAGCTCTGCTCTATAATGAACTGTAACTACGAGAAACCATGGTGTGTATCTTTATGTAACCGATGCCTTGCTTCTCCTGAATTTTCAAAACATCTTAATAATTACGGTTGATGTTAAAAAACTCTCATGAGGTTATCTGTTGAAGTGAAATACATTCTAAAAATACATGCATATAAAAGGATGGCCAGGGAAGCCATTTCATTGAGTAATGGCCAGTTCTGTCCTCACCTTCCCTCTGTCTTGCCCCTCCTTGTCCCCAAAGCTGCCTCTTCTTGCGTGTAATGCCAGCACTCTGTACAGTGTTCTGTTTAGAGTGGTTTGAACATTTTTCTGCCCGTGTCTCTCATTGCTGAAGTAACCCACCTCTCTCATATCAACTCTTACCCAGGAGCCGCACTGCAGACTCTTTGATGTAGGTCCTTTCTGCATGGCAGCTAAGGCCAAGCTGTGGTTTTCATTGCATGATGCAACCTCACCCTTTCAGTTGTCACCTCCAGGTTAACCAGATTCTTTTCCTGCACTGCCCTTGCATGTTGACGTGCTTTCCCTGATGGCCCTGAATGTGGTGAGCACTGAACGCATGCTTGAATGAAAGCGGAGAGCATTCCAATACACTGAAACACTGGGCCTGAGACTTCTCCTGGAGCATCCCTGTGGGCCCTCAGTTTGCTGTGATATCACAAAGGCCACTCTGTCCCTTGAAATTCAAGACTAGGACATTGAGAAAGAGAGAAATAAATCTCCCATTTTTAGGTTTATGCTGAGCAAAGGCTAATGACAAACAATTAGAAGCTAGGGCCAGTTTTCTGAGTTACAACCTACCTGACCATCAGTCCTATGCGTTCCCGACTCCACACAGGTGTGCACCAGGTGACTAGGATTATGATACCTTTTCATGTCTTTCTGAATGTTACCTGGTCTGATTTTGCTTAGATCTAATAAATATCTAAATAAATAGATACACGTTTTAAAAACACCTCTTGGGCTAAATACCTCAGGAAATACAATTATTGATCTTTCTCATAGTATATTGTGTTTAAGAAAGCCATTAATTCAACTTTAAAAGATGTAAAATGGTACTACTATAAAGAAATATCGCATTTGTTAAAGCATGTTGGCACTGCATTCAACATCACTGATTAGTAAATTGTGATCGTTTTCTCTCCTTGGAATGTATTTTTTGCCTTAGGGCTGTCTAATGACTTACTTTAAAAGAGCTTTCTTTTCCTTATTATTTTTAAACTTGTATACTTCTTTGTTGTATTCTCAGAATGGCTTTTATAAAACACAATTGTCAGGATCTGTTTTCTCACTGGATTTTTTCGTTTGTCATTTCAAATACATGCTGTACATTTTAGACATGCCTTGGTTGTAAACTGAGAAAAATGAAAGGTGAGGCATTCCAGGCTGTGATAAACCTAGGGTAGGAGTAACAGTTCCTAGAGAATTCTTGATGATACTAGCCTGTCAGTATCCCTTAGCCCAAGACTAGGCACTAAGCAGTTGGAATGAAACAAAGCTGAATGCTTCTTGTCTCATTTTTATGCCTCCTTCATGAATTCTGATTTTCTACTATCTGGGGGCTTAGCAGATTGAAGCTCTTCCCACATTCCCCTTTTCCCCTATTCTATTAAACATATCCTGTGTATTCTATTGAAATGGACTTTGCTTAGAATTTCCTAACATGTTCTTTTGGTAACGAGTAAAAAGATCCTTTGAATGGGACCATTTCCCCTTCTGAAAAGAGCTTAAATGGAATTAAAGTACAGACCTGTGCAGGCAGGCGATTCTGCCCAGCATGTTGAAATAGTCTCACTTTAGGAACGTTTTCATCTGGGGGCTTGGCAAAGGAAACGTCTGATTCTCTTTTGTGAGATTCTTCAGTACAGAGAACCATTCCTCTTTCCCAGAAAAACACAGTGATTTCTCATAAAATGAAAGGATTTCTGAAGCCCAAAAGAAAGTGGGGATACAGAGATCCATTCACGGAGATAGAAGAGAAAATCCTAAGAAATCAGTTTCCTGGGGGCATCCTAGGTCTCTCACAGAGCTGTTTTTATAATCATAGGAAAAACATCTCTAGAGAAGTTCAAAGATATGACAATAAAATTAGAAGAAGGACCTGTTGGAGGAAGTGAGGAGAAAGATACTTCACTCCACTGAGCATGTAATTCATCATATTTCTTTCCAGATCCAGAAGTCTAGTGGATGTCATTGACATGGTGGAAATAGCTATTTATTATTTCTTTTCTTTGTTTGACACAGAGTCTCACTCTGTTGCCAAGGCCGGAGTGTAGTAGTGCAATCTTGGCTCACTGCAACCTCCACCTACTGGGTTCAAATGAGTTTCCTGCCTCAGCCTCCTGAGTATCTGGGACTACAGGTGTTCGCCACCACTCCCAGCTAATTTTGGTATTTTCAGTAGAGGTGGGGTTTCACCACGTTGGCCAGGCTGGTCTCGAACTCCTGACCTCAAGTGATCCACCTGCTCGGCCTCCCAAAGTGCTGGGATTACAGGCATGAGCCACCACACTCAGCCAGCTATTTATTATTTCTGAAACATGAGCAGGAGAAACCTGATTTTGATAAATAAATGATTTTCAATGTTAGAAGAAAGAGGGAAGGAAAAGAAATGTTCCAGGAGATGAGACGTTACTTTCATGAACTTGTTAAGAAGGAAGTGAAAAGTGTGCATACTTGAAGATATGATTATATAATCATAGGGGTTAATAAGTCATTGCCATTTTCCCCATTAATGATGACAGTTTGTTTTAAAGGTAACTCATCGAGTCTGATTTTCCGTGGTGGTGTTGGTTTCTACTGCCCAGGTCGCTTATGACATTCCTAAGGAGTGACTCCAGCCTTGTACTCAGCAGACCCATGACTTCTAATCAGCAGCATCTCAGATGCTTCGTTTTGGCTCTGAGGCTGCTAGGCTCTCAACAGAACTCCTAAATAGGAAAACTTACAAAACTTCCAGGCCTTAGCTGTCAGCCAAAGACAGAGCTGAGACACAGCTATTTTATTTCCTTGTGCAATAAAGGTATAATTGTTTTCTATGCCAGATGTCAGAAAGACTTGTACCAAATCTTTCTCTGTGTCTTCTTAAAAAAAATCCTCAACAGTAACAACAGCAACAAAACTTCAAGATGTTAGAAACTAAGCTATTATAATTATCCTTCAGCATCACGTATAAATTCATGTGTAACTTTAAACAAGCTGGTGTCCTTCTGGTGACTATATATGTTATGTGACATTGTTTTCTGTTCGTCAAAGTGAAGCAGCAGATAAATGGAGCAACTGTTTTTTACATAATTATTTTTTTCCCAGATGTTCTCAGGCTTCCTCCATTCAGTATCAGCAGGTCTTCAGCATTGGTACTCTTTGTTAGTGTAGACCTTGAGTGCCCTGCTGAGGGGCTTGTGTGCCATTCTGCTTGAGTGCCGATGTGGCCAAGAGGTACAAGAGTTGGAACTGTAATAGACTTCTTAGTCTACTGGCTGAAATGCTAAGGTTCAGAATAAGAAAGAGATATATCTCAGGCACCTCATTATCCCCATTTGATTAAATTGCCAGTCCGGAACCCAGGACAGCTGGTTCTAGCTATGGATTCAATAGTTGTGGTTTCTCTACTCCAAATGCTTACAGGTAGACCCATAGCAAGGTGGCATTGCCAGGTCATGCCACCCAGTATGTCAGGACTATGTGAAAGTCAGGAAGGAGGGCAAGAGAAGGGTATATAAGGCATAAGCTAAGTTGAGAACTGGTGAGATGACCAGGGAAGGCCCAGAGAGTCCTAGGCAAACATCTAAAGAAGGCTCAGAGAGAATTTTGAAGTCTGCATCTAGTAATAGCCCAAAGGAGTCCCACAGTGATTTAAAAGTCTGTTATGCTATGGGAGTACCAACCTATCTGCCCAACCATGACCTGATTGGCCAGCCTTTGGCAAATAGAGAGCTCTTTCATTCTCTTAGGAGCCTCTGCCATCCCCTATACAATTATGAGGGCTTCTTATTTGGGAAGCCTTGATATGAAGTGCCTTGAAACTGTACCCAGAGCTACTTTCTCTAGGATGCTCTCTTCTTCAGAAATGTGGGCACCAAGCCATTGTTTCCCAATGGCTAGGGGTTGTTGGCTATCCCTGGTTATAGATGATCATTTATCAGCCTCCTAGTACATAGGTGGCAATATTTAACATCCAGGAAAAAAGTCGTAAAAAGCAGAAGGTAGTGATCACATGAACAGTCTATTTTTGCTTCCCTAGGTCTAAATCCCTGTAGGTGTGAGAGGAGTATGGATCCAGGGGTCAGAGGTTCCATTCCCCATGCCAGGCTTTGTGCCTAGTTTCTCAGCTCTCCATTCAGATCTGGGACTTCTCTTCTTCTTCCTGTCCCCCATTTCTAATCACTTATCTATGCTGTCCTGTTTTCTGGATGGTCCCAGGGTGGGGTTGGGGTTGGGTGGAGAGCCCATATTTGTGCTGGGAGGCTGAGGATGTTTGTGTGTGTACATGTTGTGTGGGTGCCCACCCACATGGACCAGTCTATACCTATACATGACTCATTGACCTAGCCATCAAAGAACTTTCACTCTGTCTTCTGGTTTATGTGCATTAGTGCATATGCATTTAGTGCTATTTGAATCATCTACTCCATTTCACTCCTCTTCTAGATAGATAAGAGTTTCCTGAAAAACGATTGGCTAGAATCAGTGGAGGTAGAGGAGTGAGTAAATAGAATTGGTCAGTCATGATTCCTCAGTTTAGTGAAAACTAAAATCAAGCAATGCTTGTTTGGCAAGACTCTGTTTTACGTAGTAGCTTAACTCTGATTTATTACATAAAAGTTGCTGGCAAATATGAACACTAATTCTACTCTGGAACAACTGTGATTGAAATAATTGTAGTCTGCAGATAAGCTGGAGAAAATAAGCATTAGTTGGTAGGTTGTCTTGAATATCATTACAAGAGTATAGTGAAAAAGTACATGCTCTTACAGAAGAAAACTTACAAGAGACATTTATAAGACATATGACTGGTTCAGATCTCTGCCTCTTATGTGTAGATCCGCGCTAAGCCAACCAGACAAGGAAAGCTCTCATCTCTGCAAAAGACCAGGAAAAGGAGAATAGACAAACTCCTGTGGCCACTCGTTAAAGTGACTCAAGGCTTTCTCTGCCAAGAAATCTTGGTTAATTATTTAGTATTTATGAGGCTATGTGGCTACCTTCATGGAAATATAATTTTCACTATTTCTTCTTTAATACTCTATAGAATTATACTAGGTGTTTGTGAAATCTCACAATAGCTGAATGCACAGCCTGCTGGGCATTTGGATTACAATGCAGCACCAGATAAAGAGGCAATAAAGCAGATACAAATGAAAAAATAGATGAAAAGAATAGAAATAATTT